CACCTCTTTTAAACTTCAAGTTTGTTAATCATTCTATATTTGATCTGTTTAAATGATTTATAATTTAGTGAGAATTAAGTTACCAGATAATTTTTATTACAGATGGTAAAAGGCAGCTTTTGAAGGAGTGTGTGTGTGTGTGTGTGTGTGTGTGTGTGTGTGTGAAGAGAGAGTGTGTATATAGTTAGTTAGATATAGAGAAGGAACCCCCAAGGAGGGTACTAGAAGTGGATAAAGCTGAACAATTAACAGGAAGAAAATCTGTCTGGTTGTATTTTTTACCAGCTTCAGTCCAATTTTGGTATATCTTCATAAAAAATTAAAAAGTGACAAAAGTAAATGATAAAGTAGAAGACTATGTACCCAACTTTACACAAACATTTATGAAATCATTTTATGACTACTTGATTTTAAAGATGTTTTTATGTGTATGCGTATAGAGTGCTAATGCTCCTTTTAGTAATATAACACGCTTAATATTAAATATTTATATATAAGATTACTAATGTGTATATGTGTGTGAGTATTCATTGAATTTAATAAGTCCACACAATTTTCAATTTGGCTTTTATTTTGCATTAAAATTTTAGCAATAAAAACATGCTCCAAAGACCTGAATTTATTATTCTTCTACGGGAACCATGGATATGTCATTCTGATTCAAATTAAAATACATTAAAATTATGTCCAGTTGACTGAACATAAATTTTAAAATTGTATCACCAGGCTGTTTTATCACAAGCAAAAGAAGAAAAAAAGAAAAAGTATCGTACAAACAGTATTTGTACATTCTTTTCCAGTAATGTTACTCTTCTATTAAATGACAAAGGGGGAGACCTGAAAGCTTAAAATCAGATGTCTATTCCCTAGTTCAGGAATAAGGGAAAAAAAGAAAACACAATTCTAAAATTTGGGGGCATCCACTGTTGCTTTGGACCAAAACTTCGTGAAAGTTGTTTACAAAATAGTATGATTTGCCTTCAAAGACATTGTTAGGATTAAAACACTAATGCATTTTTAAATTTTATTAAATTTAATACATTATTTATTATTTTTAGAGAGGTTTTTGCTATAGGGTGTGTGTGCTCACTGGAGAGACAGAGAGACAGAAAGTGAACCCCCCCTTAGGGGATGGCCATATTGGAATCCCTTTTCCTCCATTCTCCTCTTGGGACTTTAGTACACACACACATGAACCTGATGTAAGTTTTAAGCCACCAGATCCAGGACTCGAACCATGGTTGACTATGTGAGAGTCAAACAATGTAACTATTATGCCATCTGCTGGTCCCAATGCATTTTTTTTTTTAGATCTAAAATATGGAAAAGCACACATTGCCCATGATCCCAATATTCATAATCATTATTTTTAAGTTTTTGTATTTATTTCTTCCATGAACAAGAGAGACAAAGAGAGAGAGCCAGCATCTTCAACAGGGTCTTAATGCCATAATCCACTCCCAGACTTAGTCAGGCCTGGTCATGGGCACACACATGCCTGGTGTACTCAAGATGGTCTCCAGACATGAATCCAGACCTTTGCACGAGTCAGCCACATAAAATTTTGTATTTTGTTGCTGTACCACTAACTATGCCCTATAACCATTCTTAATGTATGTCAATAATCATATGGTTTTGTTTTTTGTTTTTTGTTTTTTGTTTTTTGTTTTTTTTTTAATCATATGGTTTTTTAGAAAGAGTGAAAAAACAAATTTAGCATCATAGTAAAATGGTATGCTTTAAATTTTTTAATTTAAGAAATTATTTATAAAAATAAACTCATGATAGAAAATTTGGTTGGTAAAGAAAAAATAGAAAATGTCACCTATACCCACTACCCTCATAAAGGTATTATTTTATATTAGTCAATTTTTGGCTGCTTCACTGTGCATATTGATGATGATACTGTGGACACCAATTTTCATGAAAATATTCAGAGACAATAGAGATGGTAATATGTACAAAGACTTAATGACAGATAACACTACCATGGCTGCTTTATTAATCTTTTACAATTTAAAATATATACCACAAAGACTCAGGCCTTTCAAAAAGAGTCCTAAAGATACAGAAAAACATGACTAAAATTCCTTGGCGTTAATAAATGACTACTCTGGTCCAGTTTTACTTTTGTGAAAAAAAGCAAAAGTTCAGTATCCCAACTTCCTAGTTTTATAAATAGAGTAGTCATTGTTAGCAAAAATGAGCAGAAGAAAATAGCCATTATGGTTTTAAGTTGTCCTGATTTTTATTATGGGATAAACATTTTGAAATATTTTTCTTACTACTATCAGGGGAGCAGAAGCAGACACATAATAGCTGAAGGAAACAGAAAGAATCAAATTCTACCCTGAGCTATAGAATTCACTTGACAACAGGATGCCTGGAACTAAGATCTCAACTAGTTAAAAAATAGCCTATAAATCCTTATCTACTGAAACTTTTCTTTTCTTGAGATTTTCATTTCTATTTTTCTTTTATTTGGTCAAATATAATCTTTAAAAAATATTTTTAATAGAAGGGTACATTAGTGTGACTTTTCCTGAGTCCATGCATATTTTGAGAACATCTTTTCAGAAAGGAAAGAAATTAGATAAATATAATTCTTGGGTCACTATTTTTAACTTTCAAAATTCCACCAAGATCTCTATTGTTTACTAGCATTTTGTTTTGCAAAAAGCAACCTGATTTTTGTTGTTTTCTTGAAGACTTATTTAGCCTGTTGTGACAGATATGGTAAGTTAATACCCAAACTACTGTAACTTGCTTTAAGCACACCTTCTTGTACTGCAAAGGCTAGAAATCTACAAATTATGTTTCTCTAATTCCTTTGCAGTTAGTGACCTGGATGTGAGTCCCATTTATCATCATGGAAAAATGGTGGAATGTGAGTTACACCAACTAGATGTACTCACATGGTATTTAGAAGGTGGAAATAAGGAAGAGGCCATCTTATTTTCAGCTACTATTACAGGCAAACATATTTACAGATAAATACACTAGGATTTCTTGAAGCAAAATTCCACAATTCGGTGTCCACCTATATGAGTGCTTTCCAGCAGTTGCAATTTTCTGGTTCCAGGACTGCAGCTACAACAATGTATTCTTAAAGTTTAGAAGACTCAGGCCTGACCTTTAGTCTGATGATTTAGGGAACTAGACGGAGTCCACATGGCTGGCCATAATTTGAATCCTGGTATGGACACTCACAAAATAAGAGAAGCACCTGTGTGAGCATGTTCAAAATCCCAACAGGATGGAGAAATGGAGAAGGGATTGGGAAGTGGCCATGCCCTTCTGGGAGGTGCTTTCTCCCTCTGTTTCTTTCTCTCTCTAGTGAGCACTCTGGCAATGAAGAAAAAAATTTTCAGGAATCAGCAGATGGCCTAATAGTTATGTCTCTGGACTCCCACGTAGTCAACAACAGTTCAAGTTCCGGACCAGACAGCTTAGAACTCACACCATGAATGTGCACATGTGTGCCCAAAATCCCTAGAGGAGAACGGAGAAGTGATTTCAGGATGGTCATCCCCTCTGGGGGTGCTTTCTCACTTTCTGTCTCTATGTCTCTCTCTGTCTCTCTGGCCAGCACATGCACCCTATAGCAAAAACCTCTCTAAAAAAAAAAAAAAAAAATCAGAAGACTTCCAGTGGTGACCAATTGATTCCCTCTAGTTTTGGTTATGTCACCAGTGTTAGCTGCCTTTGTGTGGGAGATCATTCAGAGGTGCTGTTCAGGCAGTTTTTTACCAGAAGTTTTAACATAGAGCCTGCTCTTCCAAATATAATTCCTATATTCAGTTCTTTTATGTTTAACATAGTTGTAGTATTTTCTCTTTCCTGAAACTGAGCCCTAACTTATGTATCTTCTTAGACATTCCTAGAAGATTGTTTTGTGTTTATTACTATTTTGCATAACCTAAGAATAGTTATTTTAAGATGATATAGTCCTGTTACATGAACATTAATATAGCAACTGAGCCAAGTTCGAAATGCTTGATCACAATTGTTAGTTTTTTTTTTCCCCATAGGATTCTTGTCTCCCAAGTATTTCTGAAATTCTTCAGTGTGTTTATGTACATGCATGAATCATCCTTATGTTTATCACTGGACTAGCTGAGCCAATAGCTGAACGCTAGCACTCATTTGTATAACAGAGATGTCATTTTGAGCTGGTCCTCAGTTTATAGTGATCAAGTCTTCCAATTGCCACGGCCAAGGTGTTGGGAAAATTTTTAAGTAACTAAATAAATACTTTTTGTCTCGATTTTTAAAAAAATCTCTAATACCTTAAAATGCTGGAAATCTACACAATGAATTTGGAAACTCCACTAAACTGTAGAGTTCAATATCAATTATGTTTCATTGCAAGAAATCCATGTCCTAATTCTTACAAAGGAGATTATGCTAAAATGGACAGGGGTGTGTTTGAGTTGAAGTGCTGGAAAATTCTCTGACATATCATAATCTTTGCTAGACACATACAAAAATCCTGGTTGACTAGTCTGGGATGATTTGTAGTAATGACCTCCACAAGACTCAGAGATGAACCCTCCAATATTGCATATTGTATTGATCATGAAGACACCCACTGGTGTGCTATTCCTGCTTGTTCTTTTTTAAACAGGTTTTTCCCTTAGGGAATGTGTGCTTGACAGGGATGCCAATGTAGCAATCCCTTGTTCTCCATTCTCCTCCTGGGATCTTGGGCACATATGCACACATAACCAGCATGAGTGTCAAGCTACCAGGTCCGGGACTCAAACCGCGGTCAGCCATGTGGAAGTCCAGAGATGTAACTGCTACACCATCTGCTGGCCCTGCTATTCCTGCTTTTATACATCAGACATCTGAACCTGATTACAGAAAGAATTTTCCTATTTCCTTCTTTTTACAAATCCCTAAGCGACTTAACTTCCATGCTAATAAATGTTGGGGGAAAAGGTAAAAATAATAAAGCACATAGCCTATCATTTTTGTTTGTTTCTTTTGTTTTTTAGGTTTTTTGCCACAAGGAATGTCTGCTTATTGGATAGAGACAGAAAGCCAGGGGAAGTGTAGAACTTAGAGACCCAGAAAGAAGAGTATTCAGGATGGGAAAAAAAAAAAAAAAAAAAAACACACACAACCCCTAAGCTAGAGGAAGAAGCCTCAGAGATGGAGGAAATGGAGGAAGGAGGAAGTTTCCTCAGGGCTGGAGGAAGAGAAAGAAAAAGAAGAGATCTCAGAACTGGAGGAGGAGGAAGGAGAAGAAGGAGAAGAGACCTCAGAACTAGAGGGGAAAAAAAGGGGGAGAAGAGACCTCAGTGCCAGAGGTGAAAGACTCAGCTTCTCAGTGTCATGCTGTGGTAGATACAAAACATGAAGTTGAGGAACTCAACAGTAATGGCTCAGAGACTGTTTTCATTGATAAGTATAAAAAGTATTTACAAATCTGAGTATTTTGTTGGACGTTGCTGATCTTTTAAGAAAAACAGAGGAAAAGGAACATAAAACTCTGCAAACAGAAGAGCTAATGTCCAAAGAAGCACGTTTAAAACAGGACATAGAAGAACACTTTAGAAAAAGGGTGATTAATAGTATCAGAGAGATACAAAAGGAAATTATAAATACAAAAAATTACCATCCAGAAGTCTTGGAAAAGAAAAATTTAGTAAATTATCTGAGAAGCAAAATGGACCCACTGGAGGAAAAAGTGAACAGTCTAGAAGGTTGAATTAAAGAATTCTTGAAGGATATGATACATCTGACCAAACAGATAATAAGTGAAAGATTAACAGATAAAAAGATAATAGATCCAGAAGTTACAACATTTGTATAATAGGAGTTCCAGAAAATGATGGTAAAAAAGAATGGAGCAGAGGATATAATTAAGAAAATAATTTAAAAACTTTACAGAGCTACAGAAATATTCAAACCTTGATATTTTCAGTGCTAACCAAGTATCCAGTAAGATTGATGTAGAGAGACTTACTCCTACACACATCTTGGTGAAATTTTTGAAAGCTTATGAAGAGAGGAGTATCATAACCTACAAATGAACAAGAATCAGATTGACAACAGACTTATCACTGGACAACCTGGATGCTAGAAACCAATGGAGTAGTATTATGAGAGTTCTGCAGGAAAAAGACTTTAAACCTAGAATCCTATATTCAGCAAAATTGGCATTTGAGTTTAAATGTAAGCCACAGATTTTTTTTATATATTGAAGAATTCAGAGTTCATTTCTTACACACCCTCTTTGAAGATTGCTAAAGGATATACTTGAACAGTCTAAGGTGACTAGAAACACACATGCACAATATACTGTCTTCGTGCCAACACACACATGTCCAAAAATTGACAGTAAACCAGAAAGTAGAGTATTGCATCTCTAACCATAAGGATGGATGGCTAATGGCATAGTTGGGGGTTGACAGTAAAGGAAGCTACAGATAACACATTGATGTTGGTGTAAAGTTAAAGGGTATATTTTGAAAATGTTCATGGTAACCATCCTAGCTTATATGTAGGAGTAACATTTCAATACTGTTAGAAGTAGAGGGAGTTGGTCACATTTTTTATGTAGCTGCTAGCAAAGGTGACTGAAAAGTAATAAAGAAGTACAAAGAAAAAGATAAGTTAAAATACAAAAATGTGGAAGCTGAATGTATAAAGAGATGGATATTTCATAAATATTCTCATTTATAATGATCAGAATTTCAATGTGTATTAAATCTCTTTTGTTTGAAAACAATTTAAAAAATAAAACACAAACAGTAATATTACAAGCATTGACTATGTCACCAATAACAAACAAAAATTAACTGAGTGCTCTAAAAGTAGAAAACAAAAATAATAATTATATGATATTCATGATAGAAACAATTTAAATATAAGGACATAGAATGACATTAAATAAAATAATGGGAAAAATATATAAATACTAACTGAAAGATACCTGGTGTGGGTATCCCAATGCAGACACAGCCATGTTAAGGGCATAAAGCACTATTAGAAAAAGAGAGCCATCAGCAAAGGGGCCATGCAGCAGAGTTAATGATTCTAAGGATGTATGTACCATATAACACAGCCTGAAAATATATTATGAAAGGGCCAATGGAAGATATATTGGACTACATTAAACTTACTACATTAATCAAAAGAAAACTTTAAGATAGGGGAAAGACTGGCCACAATAGGAAAATATATTTAAAATACATACATCTGACAAAAGACTCATTTACACATCCATAAAATCCCCACATACATAAAAAGTAGAAACAGAAGCTTATAATTAAAATCTTTAATCTTGAATTTACTTACCTTGTGTCCAAAATTTCTGCATTAAAGGTAAATGTAGATCTGTTTTTACTTGAACACTTTCTTGGTGTAAGAAAGATGGTCTTCGCAGTGACTTCCACCTAATCTGAAAGGTACGCATGCCTTAATAATTTTAGTGGATTTTTTGTTTTTTGTTTGTTTTGATTTGGTTTAGTTTTACAGATAAAAGAAAATCAACTACTCAAGTTAACTATAGCAAAATGGGACTTCTTATGATTATATCCAAAGTATTTTTTTAATTTGCCTATGTGCTCATTGGAGAGAGACAGAAAGAGAGGAGAAAGCCTCTTCCATGGATAAAAGTCATGCTATAATCCATTCTCCCTCCATTTTCCCCTCCTTTTGAGAATTTGAGCACTCATGCCAACGTGTTTCTCAAGCTTCCAAAGTCCAGAGCCTGGACCTCATAGTTGGCCATGTGGGATCTAGTTCATGTAACCACCAAACCATGGGCTGGCCCCAAAGGGATTTTCTTGTCTCTCTTATTTCTGCTATTCTCTGTTGATTTTTTTTTTTCTTAGAGGCTGATTGTTTCCATGGATCTGGAAACAGTTATTAGCTTGTCTCATAATTCACATGTTTTTTGTTTTTATTTTATTTTATTTATTTTTTGTTTTAAGAGGTTTTTGCTATAGGGTGCATGCGCTCGCCAGCCAGACAGAGACAGAGAGACAGAAAGCAAGAAATCAGCCCCCAGGGGGGATGGCCACACCGCAATCCCTTATCCTCCATTCTCCTCTTGAGATCTTGGGCACGCACACACATGCACCCGGAGTGTGTTTTAAGACACTGGGTCCAGGACGCAAACCGTGGTTGACTACATGGGAGTCCAGCAACATAGCCATTACACTAACTGCTGGTCCCTTTCACATGTTTTTTAATACCACGACAGCTGAATCTGTCTCCTAGATCCAGTTTTTAAAATCCTAGGAAAAGACTCTGAAGATACAGATTTGGTTACACCTATGCCTCTGGGCCAGTCAGCTATAGTTGAGCTTTTAGAGGCAAGTATCAGTACTAAGGCTGGACATACACACTAGATTTCCTGCTCTATGGGGTGAGGATGG